AACACATACAAAAATAAGCAAGTTATGAATATTTAAAAGAAAAAAATTACAGAACATTGATTTTTGAATTACAAATATAAAAATACAAATATACAAATACAAATAAAAAAATCGTATTTTGCACCTGAGTGTAGATGTTTTCATTTTTTTATACTGTCAAGAGAGAACTTCTTCAACCTGTTAAAAAACAATCTGTTTTAAAATCTGTTTTTCCGTTTATCAGCTGTCGCCAGATGTCATGAATGACAACAAAAATAAACAAACTCAGTTTCTGAATACCATTGCTACAATAACAGAGTAATATTTTATCTTATCTTAATATCAACATATGATATCATAAGTTCAACTTAATTATGAAACTTTGAAGAGTTATATGTTATTGGGCATGTACTATTGCAGTTTGTAAATATTTCCCTACAATATGGACAATTTCCTAATGCATTAAAAGTCAGTACTATTGTTCCGATACCTAAAATTCCAAACAAAAATAAATCAAGTGAATATCGTCCCATTAATACTCTGCCGGGAATGGAGAAATTGTTGGAAATGGCTGTATACGATCAACTAATGAAATATATTAACAAGAACAATATCCTAATAACAAACCAATCTGGATTTCGAAAGAATTTCTCCTGTGAAACCGCTCTACAACTGACTGTTACCAAGTGGATACAATCAATTGATAAGGGAGAATACGTTGTTGCAGTTTTTCTTGATTTACGAAGAGCATTCGAGACAATTGATAGGAATATCCTTTTAAAAAAATTAGAATTAATTGGGATTAAAGGGGTTGTGCTAAATTGGTTTAAAGATTATTTAAATGATCGACAACAAGTCACAAAGATTGAAAGTGAATTATCCATTCCAGTCACTACAAAGTTCGGAGTGCCCCAGGGAAGTGTACTGGGGCCCTTGTTGTTTTTGATTTACATAAACGACATAAACACATACCACACTAGTGACTTTATCAACTTATTTGCTGACGACACGTTACTATCTATAGCACATAAAGACCTGAAAGTAGCTATAGAAAAGATGAACTCATCTCTAAATCAAATTGAGAATTATTTTTCGGCAAATAAAATGAAATTAAATACTTCAAAAACGAAAGCTATGATTCTAACAACCTCTTACAAATATAAACAAATAAATATAAATACTCTTTCCCTGTATGCTGATGGTCAGAAACTTGAATTTGTGAAAGAATTCAAATATTTAGGTTTTATGTTGGACAACAGTATGTCTTTTGGTGCACACTATAACTATATGACTAAAAAGATTTCAAAAAAACTATATTTCTTCACTAGAATTTCGAAACACCTTTCTACAAATGCGAAAATAACCGTATATAATACAATAATACAGCCCCATTTTGATTATTGCAGTACGCTGTTATACAGTTTTGACCAAAATAAAATTATGTCTCTGCAAAAGTTACAGAACAGAGGAATGAGGGTGGTTCTTGGATGTAATCGTTATGCAAGTATATGCTTTATGCTCAGTGCATTACAGTGGATGTCTATTCGTGAAAGATATTACAGGTCAGCAATGATATTTATTTTTAAGATAACCAATCATATNCCATTTCTTGATTTCTGATTGTTTGATCTGGGGGTATATTAATCTGTAAGTGAATATACGGCTTTGTTTTTTGATTAACTTCTGGATTGTGTCTGCGTTGAAACAATTATTATGGCCTATCTGTGTATCTATTTCAATTTCTTCATTTTAATTTGTCTGTTTGATGAATATTAGAGTAGGTGCACACACAAACATTATGATCGTTGTGCGCTTAGCATTCAAGGTATGTATGAAATTGATTCTTTCTTAGAATAAATTAAATCTAAAAAATAACAAATCACAAAATGATGATAACTGTTCTAAAAAGACTTTGGTACCTACAGTCTACTTTAAAAGATATTATAACGTAAAGTATCCTCAGTAGCGTATTCTTGAAAGCTTGAAAAGGATTATTAAAAAAAAACAATCTAACCTCTCTAAAAACTCTAAGATCTAACCATGAAAGAAAATCTACGATAGTTTGTTCTGTGAAAACTAATGGAAAATAAATTATTGTGCCTCAGCATTCGTTGTGGAACTGCGCAATATCTATATAATCACAATATCTCAAGAATTTATTCTGAACTTTCTCGAGTAATAACTTGTAAATGTTATACTGTGGTGACCAAATAATTGAACAATATTCAAGTTGTGATCTGACCAACCTCACAGCTTCGAGAGACAGATCCCTAAAAATCCTCAAAGTAAATTCCAACATTCTTCGAGACTTAACCACTAATTGATCAATGTACTCACTGAAACTTAATTGAGAATCAAAAAAAGAGAAAATCTCATGAATAAGTGTCACTCAAAATGTTATCATCAATTTTCATCAAGTATCGGCCAACTCAATCACAAATAGTAAAACAATAACTTTGTGTTGAATGTAGTACTACTTACCCTTCCTTTGAATTATGAGCTTGAGTAAGGGCTTTGCATTGATGAGGGCCCTCTTAAGGTTATCGTCATTATTTATGGGTAATAGATCCTGATCACTGGGATCGATATATGAAATGAGGAACGGAATATCTTTCAAAAAGTGAAGACGTTCAATAAGGGAACGGAATTCCTCAAATGTTTGTTGAGTGTTACTCTCAATACTGAATCTTCTGTACTCTGCTTCAAACTGAAAATTATCAATGAAGACAATAATAAAACGGCTTTATTCACCACTAACATAGAATAGAACAACTATTACAAATAGAAAAACATTTATAGGAAAAAGTATTTACTTTTCGGTGAAGCTATTGATCAAAGGAAAGACGATTGCATTTGTGAGAATAAAAATATGCTTAAACGTTCAATCCATAACCAATGAATGTAATTAAACATGCATATCAATGATTCACGCACTATTTCCTTTGGTAGAAATTCCAACGTTAACATCTTGTTCATTTTAGAAAATGTTGATTCGCTTCAAAATTGTGATACGTATACAATATAAACTCTTGAAAGCACTCAAAATTAAACAAATACTCACTTTGCTTCTGATTGATATTCTGCTGTCCATTTTGTGGTTCGACATTTTTTCATTCAAGACGAAAAACTTACTGACAAAAAACTAAAAATTCTCATATAACTTTGAAATGCCTGCAGGATGATTGAAATAATAAAAATTAGTTTAAAAACATAAAACAATACAAATCATTTATATTTATCCCTCATACTTCGTCTTCTTGTTTAACACCATTGCCACGGTTGCCTTTTTTAGTTTCGCTCTCTCTATTCTTACATGGCCATTGCACAGTATAATCTTGGTATATGGACTACGTTAGTCTATATACAAAGGTGTAATCACAGAATGGCAATATTTTGTGCTATAATGCTAACTTCTTTATAGCATTATTTTGGCATTATTTGAGGTATTTGAGGAAGGAAGGACCACAGAACTTATAGTGTGTGGTCGCGGTACTTTACTGTGGGATATATCAAACGCAAGCTATTATGGACCATTTTGGCATATGTATTACACCCAATTATAAAATAATACGGAAACTTTTTTGGTTTGAGCTATGATTTTTTGATAATGGAAATGGCGGTTGTGGTCGATTTGCAAAGCAGTCAAAATAAGATGTCACATGTTTTTACAATTATTGTTTGGTTGAGTTCGAAATGGAAAATTTTTGATATTTCATTTGAATGATTTATCTCATCTGGTAAATGGAACACGTGAAATAAAATAAAAATTCTACATAAAATGAGCTCACAATCAGGTGAGCATACAAAATAAAACAATAATAATACATATTAATATAACATCACAAAAATATCACACTCAAGAATTAATGTGTCTAATTAAATAACTAAATGATAAAGAATGAATGAATGAATGAATGATTTATTGGTAGGAAGATCCTAATACACAAACATAATATACATAATATTTCATGTTATATAGACACACATAGTAAGGATATAATACATATATACATATAGGTACACATAAATACATAATATATACCGAGTCACTTACTATCTACAGTATGTTCGTCTGTTCGATTTCCAACAATTTTTTTCAAGCCATTAAAAATTCCTGAAATAGAGGTTTCTTAAAGTCCCTAAGTGGAAAAGGAAACATAAGATAATACAGAAGCAATGAAATAATCAGTAAGACCAATTCATTAAAGATATCTAACCCATCTCAGAAAATCATTTCAGATACTTCGTGTTAATAATTGTCTGACAATTTCATTGCTTTTTGATTGAAACAAATGCTTATACTCACTGGTTAATGATCCACTTCTTCTTTTGACCTGTCTAATTAAATGACTAAATGATAAAGAATTCGTTGTATACGGCGCCGCATTCAGTTATTTGTGGGGAAAGAAATATGAAAATCGAATCGGAGGTATAGTTCATCGAAGCCGATGTTTTTTACTGAAAAAATAAAACTGAAAATCTACTGGTTGAACCAAAAATTAACCCTTCAAAATTTCAAAGAGAAACCTGTATATTTTTTCAGGTCATTTGATACGATAAAACATTATCTTTTCAACGTTATAACGCAAGAGACCAATTCTATTCAAAATAGCGACGTACATGAGTTATATGATATCTTACAAATTACAAACTAAGCTTCTACGGCGATACGCATGACGCTCCAAATCACTGTGGTCGTTCCTTTTCGTGCAGTTTCGCTTTGGAGTATCACGATATTTTGTCATGGTATTTTCCGGAACGTTCCAATAAAGGAGCGACAATTCCCATTTTTATGAAACAGCGGCTTCATCAGGGAACGCTAATCTTCTTGCGTTTGGCAACCCTGCGTCCGTTTTTTTGTCTCTTAAAATTTTTTGTTTTCGTCTTTTCTTTATTCTTCTCTGTACTGAGTGAGGGTTTCATGACAAATAACACAACAGATAGGTTTGACATTTTATCATAAATGTGTTTAATATTTCAATAATCCTTAGATTCAGATATCTTAGGACTGTACACATGTCTAGAAGTGCTGGTATTCCAGTTTCTATTGGATTTTGATAAATACTGTTCAGGGATAAATGGGACACACAAAGCATCCCTAAAAATCCTCAAAGTAAATTCCAACATTCTTCGAGACTTAACCACTAATTGATCAATGTACTCACTGAAACTTAATTGAGAATCAAAAAATATTCCCAAATCTTTAACAAGTTCTTTGTCTTTCAACAAATGACCAACTATTGAATAAGAGTATGGGATCTTAATTTTCCTTTCACTAAAAGAAATCTTTGAGTATTTTTCAACTTTCAAATCTAACAAGTTTACCTTACACCAATCAGACAGATCATCTCAATCCCTTTGAAGTAAACTAATATCATCATCGTTCGGAACTACTACTATCCAGAGAAAAAACTTATTCTTCGACTTAATCCAAGTCATAAGATATAAATACTCACCGTTTTGAGTAACCTTCACACTGGTACCATCTCTAATATAAAACCCTAATGGTTTATCAGAGCCGTGTTTCAACAATCTCACTCTCCTGCAAGTTTCTGGAACGATATCTACGTCAATTATTTGTGACACCTGCCTGAAGTCGTGTGGATTAGAAATTGGAAGCGTTTTTGCTCTGGCTGGGGTGCTTCCTAATATGGTGGATATGAGATTCCTAGGTTTAAGCGTACCATAGCCGTTCAGTTCTTCAAAGCTATTTCCTGCAAAATTATCTCATAAAACAAAACAGTTAAATGATAGCGTATTTGAGTAAAACTTTATGGTGAGTATAGTTTTTGAAATTACTATGGATCTTCATCAAGTAACAACCGGATCAATCACAGAAAAAAAAAACATGTATGTTTCTTGAGAAAATCAATCGTAATTATTATATTTAAAATTATTATTATATAACAAGCACAAGCACCTGTAATGGAGTTTGATGAACTATTTAGAGAAAATCTCATGAATAAGTGTCACTCAAAATGTTATCATCAATTTTCATCAAATATCGGCCAACTCAATCACAAATAGTAAAACAATAACTTTGTGTTGAATGTAGTACTACTTACCCTTCCTTTGAATTATGAGCTTGAGTAAGGGCTTTGCATTGATGAGGGCCCTCTTAAGGTTATCGTCATTATTTATGGGTAATAGATCCTGATCACTGGGATCGATATATGAAATGAGGAACGGAATATCTTTCAAAAAGTGAAGACGTTCAATAAGGGAACGGAATTCCTCAAATGTTTGTTGAGTGTTACTCTCAATACTGAATCTTCTGTACTCTGCTTCAAACTGAAAATTATCAATGAAGACAATAATAAAACGGCTTTATTCACCACTAACATAGAATAGAACAACTATTACAAATAGAAAAACATTTATAGGAAAAAGTATTTACTTTTCGGTGAAGCTATTGATCAAAGGAAAGACGATTGCATTTGTGAGAATAAAAATATGCTTAAACGTTCAATCCATAACCAATGAATGTAATTAAACATGCATATCAATGATTCACGCACTATTTCCTTTGGTAGAAATTCCAACGTTAACATCTTGTTCATTTTAGAAAATGTTGATTCGCTTCAAAATTGTGATACGTATACAATATAAACTCTTGANTTTCGTCTTTTCTTTATTCTTCTCTGTACTGAGTGAGGGTTTCATGTTTCATGACAAATAACACAACAGATAGGTTTGACATTTTATCATAAATGTGTTTAATATTTCAATGATCCTTACATTCAGATATCTTAGGACTGTACACATTTCTAGAAGTGCTGGTATTCCAGTTTCTATTGGATTTTGGTAAATACTGTTCAGGGATAAATAGGACACACAAAGAAAATATGATTTATGGTTTCCTATCCTACACTCGCAATTAAGCGTATCACGTAGCCCTATCTGGGACAATATATTTGAGAGATTTTTTTCATTTGCTCAATCACGAAAAAAAGCCACATCAAGTTCCTTACAAACCCCATCAATATGCAGATCCCAATTCAGAGATTCACCTAGGTTAGGCCAAAAGTGAGTGGGTCTTTTCGATCCTCCACCACAACATATTTGACTCTTTACTAGTAGGTACATCTTCCTGTGTGGAGCCAGTGATTGTCATTGTGTTATCATCAGCAAACATAGTTACGTGACAATTGTCAACAAGTTCTGAGAGATCATTAACAAATACCACAAAAAGTAAAGGTCCCCAGTACTGATCCTTGAGGAACACCTAATTTCATATCATGTTCCTTGGACACAGTGAAATGTACACTACTGCTTTGACATGATATTGTTGTATTAGATTGTCAAATGTGCTCTAACAATACATTTTCTGCACATGGTTGCATACTCAGTGAATAAGTGACACATAACAAAGGAGGTTTAAACTGTCAAATATATAGATGTAAATAAAAATTGATTCAAGTATATTTACTATGTAAAAGTCTTACATAAAAAGAATAAAATATAGTACATTCAAATAATCCGTAGTAACAAAGTAGATTGAAATATAACAATTTAATTTATAGTTGAGCAATTTTCAAACAGAAATCATTACATAAATTTCTGCAAATTCGATAAAGCAAAATTGGCCCCTGGTAGCACTCTGAGCGGAGTGTTCCTAGCCCCCTTCGGAGTGATACACAGCTTCTTCGGAGATCTTGCAGTAGCCATAGCTCTCTTAATATGGGGCACAGCTCTAGGCGTACATTGTTCCTCTTTTCCTGAGTAACCATTTTCTTTGTCGCCCTCTGCTGCGCTTATTTCAATAATTCTATGGCCATCAAAATTGTAGTACCTTTGCTTCAAACCGGTACGCTTGGGAGTAACATTTGCATTGCGTTTGGGCAGTCTCCTCTCTCGAGATCTCCGAGGAGAGCTCTTATCGATCACCACGTTACTGGAAGAAGAGGAATTGTCTGTGGATTTTGAACCATTGCCCTGATCATGGAATTCGAAGGAGTTTCCCGAAGAACTGAAAGAAATGCGTGTGTTACTGTTCAAATTGAAAGGACTACTGTAGATGTTGGTGTTGATTGAGATGTTGCTCTTCACTGGCGAAGACACGCTTCGTTTCAAGTTCCCCGATCTAATTTCGTTGGTGATTTGCTGCAGGGACGGGTTCCTAATGAGTTTACTGGGTCGTTCCGATTCTCTAGATCGCCGCCTGATATTACCAATCTTCCTTGCGCTTGGTGATCGGATTATCTTCTGCTCTGAGTTCCTAATTCTCAACTCTCTGCTGAGTCTTCTCGCCAACTGGTCCGTCCCTGGGCTCATTTGTTCCGCCTGTCCAAGAGTTTTCTCGTAGGCCGACTGGATGTCGTGGATGATGTCAACTCTGTTATGAATGACGGTGCTCTCCGCGGATTCCAGTTCTAGAGAAAGCCGTTTTTCGATGGCCGACACCCGGTTTTTTATTTCCTCATACTCGGTTTTTGATACTCTAACGTAGTTCGCCTTCGAACTGTTCAAACTGTCTTCATTGGAATGATAGATGAATGATTCTCTCTTTTTCCGTTTGAGATTGCTCGCAGAAGTAATTGCAGACCATCGTCGTGCCAACATGGGTTTCTTTGTAGAGGAAGGTTCTTCTTTGATTTTGGTTTTTTCCATCTTGATATTGAAATTACTGAAAGTAACAATATGAGATTAGAACCATGTAAAATGCCAAGAAAATATATATTCCGATATAAAATTTCGAAACGTTTATACTATACTGATGGAATAGCACTAAACTGACAGGAAACATAAGAGAATACAGAAGCAGTGAAATAATCAGTAAAACAAATTCAATGAAGATATCTAACCCATCTCAGAAAATCAATTTCAGATACTTCGTGTTAATAATTGTCTGACAATTTCATTGCTTTTTGATTGAAACAAATGCTTATACTCACTCGTTAATGATCCACTTCTTCTCTTGACCTTATCTGGAATATCCAGTTCTCCCACTCTGAGATTTCCTATTTGCTCAAGAATAAAATCCGGTATGACTCCAATATTGTTGGAGTTGTCTATCATCAACTGCAAAAGAAACCGTTCAACAGCAATCTACTTTTATGTTGAAAAGTACTTTACCTTTACGATATCACAAGTTTTTTTGACCATCAGTTTATTTTTAGGAGCTACTTTTTCATTAACAGGGAATACGTTTGGCCCAACTAGAATTGAGATGTTGAAGGAATTCATTTTGTTGTGCTTTGAGTGACTTGCTACCTCGCTGAAAAACTGAAAGAAACAAAAACTCATTTACGGAATTGCCATTAAGTGAATTATTTTATTTATTCATTTTACGGGTTCATCCCAGACTGAAAAATAAATGATAGAATAGATATTCGTTTTATTACGTTATGAATATACATTTGTGATAACCCATAATCAGTTGGTACAAATTAGTTTGCAAATAGGGTAAATAATACAAAAACATCAACAGTAAATTTAAAAACAATTTACAAGACACATACCGAATAGAAAATTGAATTATATTTGGTCTGAATATGTACTTTGCATGAAATGAAGTACAGAATAAAAACAATTTCTTATAGGGTACTCTTTGACTTGTTTTTGAACAAATTGACATTCAATTCAAGTCACGTTACATGGAAGTTTGTTGAATGATTAAATGTTTAAGGTACCTTACGGAATGTTAATACATTTGTTCACAAAAAGGATATGAAGTTTTAATAACTTCTAATTAATATATGCGAGTGCTTTCGATAGCAGACTATGTATCATCTTCATGGCTCTACTTAACTGAACGTATTATCTTCTCATTTGTTCTTTTATATGGTTAGAACACCTTAATGCAGGTATTTGTTCCCTCCTTGCCTGTACTTGGGTTACATCAAGCAATATTCTTTGCGTTAGTGTTTCTCTAGGTTCATTGTTTCTAGGAATGTGTATTGTTTTGTGGAGTTTATTGAATGTTAGGTCTTGTTGTGTTTTGAATAGTATTTGTTTCTCAATAAGTGAATTATGACTTTTAAATTTATGGATGTTTAGGTTTTCCCAGATGTTCATACGGTTTCCTTCATTGACTTGTTTTATGAGTTTGATGTTTTCTGGTAGGGAAAGTTATGTTTGTTTTGTATGGTGTTTTGCGAGGTTTGAATAATATAAATCAAACCTCTGTGTAAATGGAATGGACTTTTGGCCACCTTCTTCCAAGATGTTTGAGAGATAGTCTATAGGAACAATATGGCCAATTAAATAAAACTGAACTTACCTGCATCAAATAAGAGAGAACATTCAAGTGCTCCATCGGAATAAGCAGACTAGCTAATAGAATTGCTTCCACTTTGTTCTCAATCAAAGAGCATCTCAGAAATAGCTCATGAAAGGAATATGGTATAAGAGGTTCCGGTAATTCCCTCAGGAAACACTTAAGAATGACTGCCACATCTATGACATGATGTTCGTATCCAAGCATACAGCCTCGGTCCAAAGACAACTTGAAAAAACCAATGATTCAACTCGATAATAAAATATTAATATGTTTCAAGAAACAAAAATGATTTATCTATCTATAACCAAGTTTTTTGTTGAAAATTATTTAACCAATAGATACATCTTACTGTAGTGCAGCAGAAAATAAAAATGACACTAAAACACAGATGTTTGACTAGTCTGATAAATGTATGTAATGCTGATGACATTATTTCATGAAGAATAAATTCTATTGTCTTCAGATGTACCTTCAGTAACAAAGGGCTTAAAACAGTTTTAGCCCTCTTGTTAGTGGAGGATGTGAAATCAGCTTTGCAGGTCCATTCAAATAATGTTTGTAAACAACTTATCTCGTATTCTATATATCATATTCTATAGTTACTCACATAATGACTTTTTTATGTACGTGTTACTTTTATGTACTTGTTATAGATTTGATTCGAAACAATTCATTGCTTTCTCAAAATAAAATTGGAAATGGTGGAATTTCAATTCTTCTGATAAGGTTCACAATATTTTTCATTACCTTTATTATATTCTGTCTGGATCTTGACCCTTCCTTGCGAAAAAGCCCTTCAGTATCTACTTTACTCAGAATATAGGAACACATTTCATACAGTCTTTTAGGCACAACTAATTGTTGCCCATTTTTAAGAGTTACAGTCTCATTCTCTAAGTTTGCTAATGGCACGTTGAATAGCTTCTTGGATTTAACAACCTTCAAAATATAAATATAAGAAAAGTTGAGTCCACTCTAAGCAATCTTAAATATTCTAACCTGCACCGATTGCCTACAAGATTTTGCTCTGTGTTTGATTCCATATTTACGAAGATGTTTCACCGCTAAATTCCTTATTTCCTCTTTTTTATGAACATCATTCATAAACATTTTACAATCTTACAACTCTGATTACAACATTCGAAATTCATTCAAATTCCATCGCCAACGGTTGAAACCACAGAGTCACAAAACCAAAGAGAAACGAAAACGTAACCCAATGATAGTACAGTGATTAGGTGAGTTCTTAATTTCAACAAAAAAAAAATATTAATCGAGCATGTATTTTTAAATCTGGCAAACAACTAATTCCTTGAACAGTGAGATAAATGTCTCTAAAATCTTATATTCGAAATTTAAAATGGTTAAAAATTTGAACCCGATTTGACCTTCACTTTACTCAGTGGCTAACACCACTCGTGATTATCTGATGAACATTCAGACTTGAGCTAATTTTCAATACTAATGCAATCGTCTCACTCCAGTAATGATGACTTATTGATGATAAAGGAATTATTTCACATTTCTTTTTTCTGATAACAATAATGATTAAAGAAATCCTTAAAAAGCATCGGATATTACAATTTTGACAACTGAAAAAACCATTTCTGTAAAATATTAGAACTGAGGGAAGAATCTACCTGTTAACTTCAGGTTAAGTTCAAGTTATTTTCGTTTGTATTTTGAAGAAATTTACTATCAACTAAAATGACTAAAACAGTACACAGCTTCATCTGGCGTATATTACACTCCTTTTGGCTAATAAAAGACTTTCCTCGATTATTTGTAAAAGAGTGAAACATTTTTACTGGTCAAATAACCTGTTCGATAAACCAACTTTATCCAATTTGGCCTAAAGACCTGAAACTGCTCCTGCATCCTAATTCAGTTCTAATCTATTCTGTGAAGATTATAATAATCGAACTCTTGACACTTATATAATGCCTAATCTCCACTTAATTTTACGATGCCGGAATAAAATACTGCTCTCTTGGCCTTTAACCGCCGTGAATGAGAGATTAGATCGATTTTGTGACTATATATCATTCACATAAACAAAAAATAGCATCCACAAACAGAGACAGAAACCCTGCCTGTGCCATCTTTGTGAACAAACAACGACACTACTCTGAAAAGGCGTTCTACAATTAATACTTACTTAAATTAATTGATGTTGATTCAAAGATATAACTGTGAATGAAATCAAGTACACCTTTCACTAGACATCATAGATGATTATTTATTATGTATTCAACTGAAATTAAATGGTTAATTAAACAAATTGTGTCTTGTAACTAAGTCAAAGTTAAATTCAACTAGTACAACTATAACTTATATTATATTTTTAATGAATTTGCTAAGTGAGGTCACATAATATTTAGTTGTATTGATAATTATATTCCTAATACATATTATCTAAATATAACCTTAGTACCACCTGAATCTTGGTCATTCTTTTCACGAGGTTTGGGATATTAGCCACTGCTTGAAGTTGACCTCTGAATCAAGACCACACCAATTTTTTAACTTTTGTAGTTATTCATTCAATCAGTACACGGATATAGGGATTCTAAGAGTATAAACAGATTTCACTCTAAAAGTATAACGTTTATTCAAAAATGTATCTAAAGTAATAAATAAATTATCATCAGCAACTATTTCTCATCTAATACTAGTAGGTATTTACAAAGGACCCCCGTTGTTAATAACCGCAATTTCTTCTTCATCAAGGGGTTTTCTTCTGTATCTAGGAGCTATCTGGAAATCCCAAATAGCTTCTTCATGCTTTATTCCCGACTTAGGGACCTCGCCTTTCGGTTGTGCAGTGGAAGAGGCAGTTTGCTGGTCTCTGGAGGAACCATATCTGAATTTGATCAGTCTTGATCTCAGTCGGGGAGAACACGAAATAGAACGTGTTGTAATACAGTTGAACATGTTTTCTTCTAAACAGCTCTTAACACTACAATATTTGAATTCGTTAAGTTAAAAATATAAACCAAATATTATGTCATACATACATTTCGACTACTACCGACCTTGTTTGGTTTTCTGTCTCTCTTGTGACAGTTGCAACCATAACCAATATTCCTTTCTTTCTTCTTGACTACGGAAAGTGGAAGCTGTGGAAGTAAGCGGGGCATTTTCTAAGTACTGCTTAATAAAAAAGTGTTCATCAAATAGTTTGGTGGCATTTAAAAAAAAACATTTCATAGTGTACAAAAGTAAGCAAACCTGACATAAATGTACAACACTACAACAAAGTTCTGTGATATGGACATCATAACGTGTTGATGTAAAATCGAAATTTGGAAAAATATTATTAACAAGAGGAGAAAATGTCTTTTTATATAGAAGTTAGTTCCATTTCTAAGTATTCTGCGATTGCGTTTCAGTTCACACCGTTCTGTTGTAACTTCCAATATTTTTTCACAAACGAACAAACAAGCGCGTTCTTTAAGGTTAGGTATTAGATTGACGGAAAAGGTTGTTTGCTAAACATTCTGAAAGATGTTCAGAAAAGTAGCTGTTGGTATATCGGGGGGCGTAGATAGTGCCGTGGCGGCGCTTCTCTTGAAACAAAAATGTTCAATAGTCTAAATATTGAAAGGAAAAAAAAAATTACCAGGGTTTTTTTAGGTTTTGAGGTGCAAGGGGTGTTTATGCAAAACTGGGATATAAGGGATGAAAGAGGAGTATGTTCAAGTGAAGAAGATTATAAAGATGCCAAATTTGTTTGTGAAAAATTAAACATAAAATTACATCATGTAAATTTCACAAAAGAATACTGGAATGATGTATTTTGGTAGTAGATTATGTGGTACAAGATTGTTGATTGATAACTCCCCTCACATTTTGTTTTTAGCCCATTAATTAAAGACTACCAATCAGGTTTAACCCCCAACCCAGATGTTTTATGTAATAGAAAGATTAAATTCAATTATTTCTATAAATTCGCCAGAGAAGTATTGAAGGTTGATGCCATAGCTACAGGCCATTATGCAAAAACTAATTTCGATCCGTTTATGGAAAATTTCGACCCGGATGAAAGTATAAACTTAGATAGAGAATTGTGATGAGATCATTCAGAAACATATATTCTAGGTGCCCGACTATTATTAGCTAAAGATACAAAAAAGGATCAAACTTTCTTCTTGTGCCAGATACAACAAGAGGCGTTGAAAAGAACTATTTTTCCTCTAGGAGATATCATGAAATCAGAAGTGAAAAATATAGCTAGAAATAATGGCTTGGAAAAGATATCTCTTAAACCAGAAAGCATGGGAATTTGTTTTATAGGATCGAGAAAGTTTCAGGATTTCATTCAAGAAGTATGTAATAACTACCGAGTGATTTTCATTTTAATTGATTTCCAGTATATTCCAGACAGGCCTGGTGTTTTTGTGGATATTGACACTGGTAGAGTTGTTGGAGAACATAATGGTATTCATCAGTGGACTCTAGGACAAAGGGCGAGACTCCCAGGTCTCGCTATGGCATATTTTATAGCACAAAAAGATGCTGAGAAAAACATAATTTATGTTGTAAGAATCCCGCTATAAAATATTAATGAACTAACATGAAAACATACAATTTGTTTATAGAAGGGAAAAGTCAGAAAAATCACGAGTGATTCTATTGAAAAAACTTTTCCTTCCCCAGAAGAGAGATACCGTCTCAACTTATCTATATAAGAGACATTCAGGCAGTTGCCAAAATAGAACCAACATTTATGAAATTATCATTGAATTCTCCACAAATTTTCTGATGAATTTCAAATTTTTTCCCATTAACTGAAATTTTATGTTTTCCCATTCACATCTAGTTTCATTGAATAGAATTTCAATCATTAACTTTCATAGATTTTGGTGAAGCGTTTCTAACTTTTGCTATCAATTTCAGGCTCAAGGCACAGACCATCCGATACTCTACACAGATCTATTTTTCACAGGACAGCCTCATTGGATACATTCTAGGCCACCAGAGTTGGTTCAAGGCAATATCTTAGAATGCCTGTTCAAATTTCAACACACTCAGGAATGGATACCTTGTGAAATTTGTGAAACGCCACTAGGAATTACCATAAGACTTTCGAGAGAGAAACGAGCAATTACGGGTGGACAGTATGCAGTTTTTGCAAAAAACGGTGAATGTCTTGGCAGCGCTAAAATTAGAAATTCTGGGGTTTCGAAGTTTTCCTGTAATTATTCAACAAATTTGAAAAACATTGTCACTATTTAGTAATGAATAAATCAGTTGAAAATTGTGAAATTTTAATTTACCCAACTGTCCAATTAAGTATAGTTTCTGTGAAGAAAAACTTTACAAACTAAGTTTTTTTATGATGAGAGGAGGAGTATCTCCTTTCTGATCTATCATTCATATTGTGACGATCTAATTTTTCAGTCTTATATAGTTTTCGCTTTTCCGATTTTGTGTAACTTTCATCTGAACTACTATTATGTCTATGTTTGCTTGACTTCTTGTGTTGTCTTTCATCAGAACTATTTTCTCTATGTTTCTTTGATTTGCTAAAACTTTCTTCATCTGAGGTACTCTCATCTCTTTTCTTCTTCTTCTTCTTTGACTTTTTATTCTTTTTTCTGTCTGATTTGCCTTCATCGTCTTTCTCTTTCTTTATTTCCTGAAATTGAAATAAAAACAAATAAAAATTATCAAATCCTTGACATACTTTTCTACTAATATGCAAAGGTCGGAAAACTGAAAAAAAAACAATGTTTGTTTTTATACAAACATAGTAAACTCATCTGCAATGTTCAATATTTCTCTTAGTAAGTGTGTTAAGTTGGCAACACAACGGTTAGTAATAATGAGTATATAATTGAAGTTGTAATGGTTTACACTTCTCTTGTTTATGCAAGAGAACTGAAGAGTGATCAAATAAAGTTCATGACCTAAAAATATATTGTTTCATAATTCAGTAAACTGGAAATATAATCCCAAAGATATTACAACTACTATTTCTGCATAAATTTGTATACTAAATATTATAAATATAATATCGAACATGAAAATTGATTCAACTACTTTGTTTCAGAACATTTGTCAGTTTGGTAAGAAATCTGAATTCCTGAATGATTTTCATTCATACAACGTTAATTACTTTGAAGTGTAATACAGTATAAGCAGTAAGTAGTTGTTTCAAATGGACTGGTTCCAGGTTTCTATAAAGATTAGAGAATATTCGTTTATTTTCCTTCCATAGGAAATATCGGATGTAGTATGTATTGTCATAGATTTGTGTACGCAACGTTCAGGTATGTTTCTTTGAGAACAAAATTCACAAAACCCCTTTCAAAGAGAAGAAATACAAATGTTTCTTACAAATCTCACCTTGTCATCAATTTTTTCTTGTTTGATGGGATAAATAGGCAGTCTTTGCGGTAGTTTTATGTCAGATTCAATTTGATCTTCAATAGTCACCCTCAAATCTTTTGGAGGAGTTTTCCTAACGGGAACAGGTTTTGGCGCACAACCTTCAGAATATAAATTTTTAGTCACTTCATCCGTTTTCTTTCCCTCTTTAGGTACCTTATAATCAGCAACATGATCAACACGAATGATTCGACCCAGTATTTTAATACCATTGAAATTGTCCACAGCTAAAACTGTTGATCTCTGATCTTCATAGCAGAGAAAGCAAAATCCTTTGGGCTTTCCAGTGTCTTTATCTCTAATGAGATTTACATTCACAACTTCGCCATACCTAAAATTGTACTTGGGTATATAAAGTAGAGGAAAAGTGTAGATTCATGCATCAATTTCAAAACATGAGTCAGAGTTTTGTTGTAGAAATTCACATCTTCCATTTGGTACCACTTACTTGGCCATGAGAATTGACATTGAAAATCAACTGTTTACCACTTATATTCATGACTTGAAACTAATGCATGTACATTAGTGGAGTTTCTTCCCAACACCAAATCGTTATTTTTAAAACCTCCACACGTGTTTCGATCACAAAGTGATCAGTTTAATCTTCCTCTTGAAGATAATCACTTGGTGATTGAAACACGTGTCGACGTGTTAAAAATAACGATTTGGTGTTGGGAAGAAACTCCAGTAATATTCATTACTACACCAAAGGTTCCAAATAGTATATCACAAATGCATGCACCTTTAAGATTTATAGTTTAATTTTTGAAAACAACTTACTGGGAAAATATACATATTATATCACCTTCACTGAGATCATAAGGAAGCCCTCCAACGAATATCCAAGCACTGTCTTTGTACTGATCATGCCAAGAAGTTTTATTTTTTGTTCTCAATTCTTGTTCACTTAACTTGAGAACATTTTTCATGTTACTGTAAAATTGAAAGTTAAAGTTTTCTCGATATAGTTATTTCATTGAACACTTACGTTAAGGGATTCATTTTGGAATTCGAGAGAAATCTCTTGTCTTATAATCAGACCATAAAATAAATTTTCCTCGAAAAGTCAACATACATTATAAAAATATGAAACATCAAACTTTGACAAGTCAAAAGTGACAATCTCAAAATTACCAAATGTCAGTGTTGCCAAAATCATAGGTGTATTCGAACTTACACCTGGTTCACTCGGAGCACACTTTGAATTTATTTTGAAACTTCTCTGAGTAAGCTTCTGTTTCCTTACCTTCTTATGTCTGTTTTCTCCGTATATCATGGAAACCTAAGCTTTACTGAGCTTGACTGATCAAAATTATGCAATTCGAGTAGAAGAAAGTGAGCAAAATTCGAAATAGTAAGCCAAATGGAACCTAAAATACCAAACGTTTCGTCTGCTTCTGCGGCAGACATCATCAGTGGTATGTACGTTAGACTACAAACATTACCAATAATATTACAATCGACTGAAGTAATGATGAATTATCAATTATAATAATCAGGTCTACATATTCGGCATTTTCAAGTTTGTATTATGAAGTAATTGGTGTTTCATCAGTAATAACGATCAGATTCCCAGTTTTTTGTGGGAAATGTGTTTGCCAAGATGAAAATATTTCAAAACTGAGACTTTTGTATTTCCCATTGTCTAGTTTACCTTAAATTACATAGGCCAATATCTATTCGTATTCTTCCTTTTATGAGTGGCTAGAGGCCACTCATAGAGTGGCCTCTAAATGCCGAGATATTAGCCAACCACCGTTTTGCTCGGCAACGAGCTACCTACTTACGAGCATTTAAGTCTTCAGATTTGTGCTAACTAAAGAAAACCAAAAATTGTGATAGAGATAATCACCCTTTGGCTCCTCAATTTAAATTTTTGCTTCAAGAAAAATAACCAATCTTCAGCTCTTTTAAGCTCATTTATTGCCCTATCTGATTAATTGAATGAAGGCATTTACCCGTTACTTATTACATACCCTATCCAAAAATGTCCGGGCCGTTTCTAAGACGTTTTTGGGGCTTGGTTGATAAAAAAAAACAATAAAACGGTACCATTTTATTTTAAATCACATTTGTTTATAAACAATTTAAAATTAGAGGAATAATTTATTTATTTCAGTTACTTTACAGTATCAACAAATCAATCAATCAATGACACAAGATACGAATGCTGGTAACTTAGTTCCCTACAGTCACGACTCAATTTCTTTGACCAAATGAAGTATACGTTTAAAAAAAATCAACGTTTCGCTGGTTACTTGCAAAAGTATATAAAATATTGCTCTATGAAACAAAGTGGACTGTATAGTGTCAAATTTACAATTAAAAAAGTAAATGCAATGAATTGCTGATGTTTCCTCATTCGCACATGTCATTCACCATTTTCTCCATATCTCTGTCGGTGTCAACTTGATGTACCTCAATAGCCACCTCCATGTTGTTTGTCGGCGTCAACGGCAGCTCTTCGTCTTCTTCTTCCAAATCGCTCGGGGGCCGCAGCTTCATTAGAGCGTCTTTCAACTGTTGACACACTTTTTTGAAGGTGTCCAAGGTACCCGTCGGCGACTTTTTGTTCGCCCTGGTCGCTTTCCTCTCCTTTGTTAACTCGACGTCGCTGATCCATTTTTCTACTTGTGCTAAGATTTCGTGCCTCTTTATATAGAAGTGCGTGTGGATGATCTCCTTGAAGCAAGGGCATGGATTCAGGATCTGTTCCAGCATCGCCCATCGCACCGTAGCTTGGCAGATGTTGAGGTTGTATTCTCTAGAACTGACTGTACCTGCTGGTGTTCCTCTAGCTCGTTCGTATCCTGAAAACATCCAAACAGACATAGATTTATGCACATGCCATTTTACAGTAAACATATTATTGAAAAATAAACTGGGATGCCAGAAATACATGAATTTAGATCAATAACCATATTTAATAGTTTCCTCATTGTACGGTAATATTTTTCACCTAATTTTTGAAAGAGAACACGAATGAATAAATAACGACGGTATTCTTCTATGTCACCTTAAACATTCAAGTAAACGATAACTAGTACCATGGCGAGGAACCTCTGGTTCTTCTTGAATCTACATTCAAATTAATCAGTTGCTTTAAATCTGGACAATTCATACCACTGTTTATAATTTTATGGAAAAGTCTAATCTAGTTTGAATTGAAAGGGATATAATTTTAAGAGAGATTAGTCTTGGGGAAAACATTCATTTTGCACAAGGATATTTTTGAAAAAGTACGAAAATATTCACGAGATGACCTTCCTACAAATCAGGATTAAAGCCTCAGAGTTTCAAGATCTATACTCTTTGTCTCAGCAAATAGTTGAGTTAATATCTCAAGTGTTTATCAATCATGAATCCAATATACAGGGTGCAAATCTTGCAAATCCTAAAAAACGCTCGGACAGGTTGATTTTTATTGGAAGGGGGACATTTTTGCGACTCGCCCCCTATTCCCTATTAAAATTCCAAGGGTTGTTCACCCCCCTGCTCTGGGGTTGAAGTGACGACGCTGTAATTGGGGAAAAAACTGTCCCCCTCCCAATCTGTCTGAGCGTTTTTTAGGATTTGCAAGATTAGTACCCAAAACCTCCATGTCAAGTTTTTGATGGTCCACCCTGTATTTGTTACAGTTTCGCGAATTTCATTTTCAATTCAAAAACTTTATACAAAAAATATGTGGGAATTAAATAATAAAGAAGACGTATATTCACCTGGTTCATTGAAGTACGGCTCAGGAACAAGAATCAAGCTCTGGATCGACACTAATACTTGTAAGAAGCTGGAAGTTTGGGCGTTCCACTTCTCCTCCGGTCTCCCATGCCACGTATTCAACACCGATAAGCACACTTTACCGTCATTGTATAGGTTAGGGTTGAATCGAACGGTGTGGTGGCCGGTTGTTTCCAAGTTGATCATCATCGGAGACAGTGGGTAGTCCGGAGGAAAGAAAACATCCAACTCGAAACAACCGTTGGCATATGGGGTGTCAGATGGGCCTAAAAACAAAAGATAATACATTCATAAATTACTCATTTCATTCTGGTATATTCTAAATTATGGTATTTAATATTTGTGTTGGGAATCACACGTTAAAAGGTAAGATCTCATTAGTCCTTAGCTCGCACAAGTTTCGACTTCTGAGGGTTGTCGTTCGTAGGGGTGCGATAGCTGTTTAACGGAAAAACATATTTTCAGATAGATAAATGAATACAATTTTCTGGAGGTTTCAGTTATTCGATTGGTCCTTTTTTGAAGGTTGTAGGTTCTTGACTTCATTTTTCGTAAAAATAGGAACTAATGTATGTCAGCTTTTTATAGGTGACATTTCGTTATGTATGAACATAAATAATTTTCAGTACTTTTTGATAAAAAAGTAGAAGGTGTGACTCTACTCGACACAGAGAGGGCGCTATAAACTTTTTTCAAATATAAATATTTAGGGGTCTTGTGACCGTTCGCTCAAAAGGCATTTAAATTCTCTACACTACGATCTTCACTGTTTTGAATTTGGATAACCGGTTGCAGAGTTACTAGTGCATGATTTGGAGACTAGGAAAAATGATAATTTGTAACTTTGTAACCAACAAAGAATTGAAACAGCTGCAAGATTATTTATTAGTTTTTAATGTGTGATGGAAAATAATTGTTCAATTTGATGTTACAGAGTCGTCAATTTCTTAGATTTTGAGACCAACTTGATGATGTATTACTACTGTTTTGATATTTTAAAGTTTTTATTGTAATGTGTCTATAGTTTTGAGTGTTTTCACAACTATTGAACTGTGAGCATTTTACATTTCATACAAAATACATTTTATAGACATCAAAATTTTCAAACCTCAGATTAAGAAAGGCTGTAAAATGTTTCTCATGCTGGAATATTTGCATTTCCAGGTATCAGAGTTGGAACATGGAATATAAAATTTATTGTATTAATAGAATAAAAGTTTAGGTTGTTTTCGTAACTTTGTCCACACTTTATTTCTAATGCACCAATTGATGACTCATGTATAATTTTTCTCTGGTCCAAGTGTCAATACATTGAATAATATGGGTCCTAAAATGTGTACCTGTGGAACACCACATTTGAGAAATTTCGGGTGATTAAAAACGACTTCAACATACGGGGGTTATCTTTTATGTTTCGGGATTTGGCAACCCTAGTGTTGCAATCTGGCAACTGACAGCTCTATCATAAAATTGGACATTTTTGAGGTTATACCTATTCAGAACGTTTTGACAAACCTACGCGAGCTATTTGTGTTGTTTACAGTAACTTAAAAGATTCATCTCGGCCCAAAAATGGAATTAAATTGACGTGTATCAACTCAGCAACAGTGCATGGATGAACTTATTCAATTTTTGGTGATGAAGCTCCATCAAGGACCAGTGTTTATCGATGGTATGGTGAATTCAATCGTGGTCGGAGTTTTCTCCAAGACGAATTTCATGAAGGTCGTCCAAAATCAGTTGTTGTTCTGAAAACCATTTATGCTGTGTGCGAACTGATAGTGCAAGATCGTCATGTGACCTATCGTGAGATTGAGACAACCTTAGGCATTAGTGGGACCAGCAAACATTCAATATTGCATAAACATTTGAATGTCAATAAAATTTGTTCACGTTGGATCCCACACAATTTGTCAATCGCTCAAAAAAAGGCTCGTGTCGATTGGTCGAAGGAAATGTTCAAAAAATACGATCGCGGTGCTTCGGAACACGTCTATGACATCGTGACAGGTGATGAATCATGGATTTACGCGTATGAGCCCGAAAGTAAACAGCAGTCGACTGTATGGGTATTTCAAAATGAGCCAAATCCAACAAAAAGTCGTTCACACACGAAGCACTTCTAAGCAAATGGTCGCCTGTTTTTTCGAAAATACTGGACATGTCGCAACCGTACCACTAGAACAACGCAGAACAGTCAATTCTGAGTGGTACGCAACCATTTGTTTGCCAGTTGTCTTCCAAGAAATCGGGAAAACCAACCGCCGAAGACGGATAACGCTTCACCACGACAATGCGAGCTCTCACACATCGGCTCAAGCAACTGCATTTTTGAGCACCCAAAACATCGATTTGTTGAGTCATCCGCCGTATAGTCCTGACTTTGCACCGAATGACTTCTTTTTATTCCCGCACGTAAAAAACAAACTGAGAGGTCAACGTTTTTTGACACCTGAACAAGCGGTTGCTGATTTCAGAATGCATGTTTTGGAGATACATCATCAGAGTGGCAAAAGTGCTTTGACAATTGGTTCAAACGCATGCAAAAGTGTATAGATCTTCATGGGGAATATTTTGGAAAACAATAAAGTGGTTTTTGATGATTAATATTTGTTTTTGTTCTCTAATCCTGTAATATAAAAGACAACCCTCGTACTGAAAACATAGTGGCCTGACACTCACCTGTTATAAGTACCTTCATAACATCCAACCTCGAAGTGTCATATCTTACAAAAACAGAACTACTATAACTTAAAGGTAAACTAGTCGATAACGTCACAGCCTCTTGTGCTATCCTCTTCACTCTAGCAGGATGTGATTGCTCGCTGGTCGATTTGGCGTTGCTTTCAAAATGATGCGACACCACAAATTTTATCCCGCCCTCCGGCAATTCAGATATCATCTCATAGGAAGCTGGAACCGAGAAATATCCCAATGAAAGCTTCGAGAGTTTTTTATATTCGATCAGTACTTACAGAACTGCAGATTTTTCATTATCCTTAAATACTGTTCTTCAAGCGAAACCACAACTTTCTTGTCCAAAGAGTTCTCACTGTCGTAAGGACTGTCGGAATCCATCAGACCACTCATCACCCTCGAAACCAAATTGGCAGTATTCTGGATGTCTGGCATCAGTGTGGCTAGACCTTCGCCCTGTTCGAGCTCCTCCAACTGTTCGCCCAATTTGGATTTCAATTTTGACTTAGTGTTAATCCTACATAAAAGAAAAAAGAATCAATGCTTTGATTTCAGTTTTTTTTCAAACTTTCTAATAAAACAAAGATTCTCATCAAAAATTCGAAAATGAAACAGATATATCTTGCAAGAAAAGGATAATCAATTTGAACAAGCAGAAACTGTAAACAGTAATGGGAATATTCATACTAATGATGGTTCCAAAACAAGTACACTCAAGTATAACTCATCTCCTGGAGATGCCAACTTGGTTGGGGAAACGCGCGTCGAGAAGAGTGTTGCAGTTCTGGTGTTTGTGAACAGTATTTGTTTTGGATTTATTCTACCTTTCATAAATGATGGTAGACAATATGTTCAACACAATCATTCTTCTCAGCATTATTATTTCATTAGATAAAAAGACATGTATTCAGTTGTTTCAAAAGTTTTGTCCATTTTAATGTAACTGGTTTTTGTAGCTCAATATCGCAATGAATATTTATTCTACTATGTCGTGGTATATACTAATAATAATAATAATAATAGCCTTCATTACCCAACAGTTAAAAACCATTAACAGNAATGTTTATTCTATTGTATTGTGGTATATACTGATCGATAGAGAATTTTGTACTCTATTCATTTTTCCATATACCATTATTTCTTACTTTTTCCAGCATATTACTATAGGATAAGCCACTCAGGCACCTCTCAAATGAGAAAACACACCAAAAAGACCATGATTGCTGTATGGTGGTTGTTGTGATTCACTTCAACTTTCTGCATGGGCGCCCCACGATTTGAACGATCGACAGAATTTCTCGTGTTTTGAAATCTGTGAATACTGTGATACTATGTATGGGGTGGTCTGGGACTTGTGTGATTTACTATAATTCAAAAATGCATCAACAGCGGCCGGCAGTGGTCAACTGAAAAGGTCCGATCCCGCTCCACGATAATGCCTCAGATCTATTGCCAATCGACTAGCATCTTTCCAAGCACCTTGAGACTTTCTCACCGGTAGAACCTTCGCCAATAAGGACCACGCAAAAACGGTCTTCGTCTACTTCATCCCAACAGAGTCAAAACGGATCAAACTTTTGAAACAACCCAGTTTTATTATGAATTTGACCCGTTACAACAAAAATTATTGTAAAAATTGTATAATTATTTAAGCGAATCAGTTAAACTTCATTTTGTTTTTCTCTATATTGTTCTTTTTTCCCTAGTATAAACATTTTTTTTTCGAAAAATAAATTATTATTATTATTATACTATGAAATGTCATGTTTTCCACACACATCAACAAAACAACATCATTTCAAAATAAACATTACTCACCTCAATTTAGACGCATACGTATCTACACACGTTTTCATATTTCTTAGCAGGGAACAGACGGAAGGGTCGCCGCCCTTATTTCTCTGGGGTAACAATAAACTAACTAACTGCGAACTGACAGCCAAGGCTCTCAATAACTGTAGAACAGCTCTGTACAACGGGATATGCCTGGCCATGTCCAGTACTGAAATGTGAAAATGTAGCTACTTCAATTTAGACACAGCTCATAACAGACTTACCCGAATCATTCCTGAGGTACGAACACACGGCTGGCAAAAGGGCGCTCTGCATAAGAAGCTCGTGAAACGGTTGGGGGAATACGTTATCACACAGCTCATCTTCGGCCTCGTCATTCGGGTTTATATAGCTAGCCAAGACTTCTAAAATAACCGTAACATGTTCCTCTTCATTCTTTTGCTTCATCAAGGCCTGCTCCACATTCCAACTCTGCTGGGTTGAACCGGTCCCAAAACCTGTTCCTGAAAAATAGGCAGGTTATTCAACCTCTATCGAATTTCAAGTCTGGAATCTGAGTAGCTGATTGATAATCTCAAAAACTTTCTAACACAGAACAAATGAAAAATTACTTTTCCATCCTAACGAAAAATCCACTGTACAATATACTTATGGAATTGCATGCAGAAAACTCTGCTTTGATGTCTTTTTCAAATATTCCTTTATATTTCGTATGATTTGTATAAAGGTACTATATTATATGGACAACTCCTTCAAATGCAACCAATATTTTATTTAAAACAAACTTCTGGATTAGACTGCTACACAGGATGTAACATAAATTTATTTATTCATTTATTTATAAACGGGTTACTCCAATACAGTTAAGAAATAACATATATGTTGCGACGTTTAACTTATGCACTATATCACATTGAATTTGTTGTATAAAAGAAAAAGTGGATATGATAATGAGTAAACACATTGTTTCAACAAGCATGAAGGAACTCCGTCTGGGCCACTAGATAATGTAACACATTACATGCCAAAATTCAAGTGAAAAACACCTTACCCCTTGACTCTCATGTGGACCTACGACTTTGTAGGACTTTGTCTGCAGGTGACACAATCGACATCCTACTGAATCAACTGCAGGTAGAGTTTATGACTAGTTGGAATAAATTTTCTTTGTTTGGGATACTGTTCACTCCGTCTGAAATGACCTGCCCGGTAATGATGAGGGGCATGTACCCCAAAACCGATCTACCGGTGGTCGTCCCGACCAAATTAAATGAATTTCAACTTTTCATATATAAGAAGTAACTTGCAACCGAATGGTTTTACTTCAGTTTTCTACGTGGCATTAGCTGGGTGAGTTGTTGTTTTTTCGTCAGGTATCTGCCACACGTACCTTCAAAGTCGTAGGTTACATCGTCTCTTTCAGCTATTCAACCCACGGTGAGTTTTAGTACATACCTTTAGCCCAATAAAGTTGCGATCTGTCTTCTTTGTTCTTACTGCCCTGGCTATCTTTGTCGCCATTCGCATTGGACTGATGCGTGAAAATACCCAAACAAGCTAGCAGCAGATGCACAACTCCGGTGTTGATACTAAGTCTCCTCAAGAGCCTACCGTCATCTGTACCAAGCGGAGTGGCATCGTATAACTTTTTCAACACCTCAAACGGCAAAGTTGGTAACGTATCTGATATTGGAGAATTGAAAATGTCTCCTCCTGAAAAAAAGACACATATTCGTGCAAAAATTTGCTTCAAAAATAAATTTGAGTTTGATATCTCATGGTAAAAAAGATGAAAATCATTATTTGAAGCAGGGAAACAGATTCAGATTTATCTGATATTATTGAGAAATCAGTTCATTCTGAATTTATTGCATAATTTTGGTACAAGAGGATCAGTACCTAATTGATTTGAAAATTATTTATTAAACAGAAAATAATATATCTACTTCAAAATAAATTATTGAAATTGAACATATGATTAATATTTATAATGAACTACCAATAAGTTTTAATGTGTTTCTAAAAACCAGTTTTCTTCAAATTAAGACGTATTATATATTTTGTATTCAGAAATATCTCATTTATTTGAATTGAAGGGGTTATATTTTTAGGAGTGATTCATTTTTGGGAAAGAAAGTTTTTGGCTTTCTACTACTCCGTCTTGATACAAAAAAAAGGGATGAGTTAGTGTTTGTCTGTGTCTGAAAGTTACTTCTTTGCATGATCTACACATCCATGTATAGAGTTACTTATTTTCAAATTGATTACTTCCTTCCTTTCTTTGGAAGATTCCCTCATCCCCCCTTTTTTTGTATCAAGACGGAGTAGTAGAAAGCCAAAAACTTTCTTTCCCAAAAATCTCATTTATATATACACATGTATGCGTATATATTAAATTTCCTCTTGAAGATGATCACTTGGTGTTCGAAACACGTGCCGAGGTGTTGAAAATGACGGTTTGGTGTCGGGAAAAAACTCCAGTAAGATTCATGTATGTTTCTTGGGAAAATAAATGATTTATTGAAAAAAAATTACGAGGAACCTGCAATAACCAAACAACAAGGCACCAAAAAAACAAAAAAATACTAAATCTTTTTTCATTACATAACTTAAAATCGTGTACTTTTATTCAACTGGTCAAAAATAACCGACACATGCAAATTTGATTTTCAAAATAAATGTTGGCCAACACAATCATTCAACAAGATATTCAAGTAATCAGAAAGTAATGAAAATGGAAACAAGTGGGCAAAATTATTCAGTACTGCACTACCAAACACTTCAAACATTTTATTAAACAGAAATTTTTAATTAATCTGAGAAATTATTAGTTAATTAACAGAGTGCTTATGTTTCCTGATAGGTATTTTTAAATGATTGTATCCATAAACAAATACTTCAAGAATTAATCCTTTTTTTTTGGCCATCAGACAATCAATGCATATTTGAGCAACATTTTTTTCGATTTCAGTTTCCTTTCTGGGAGTTCAGTACCTTTTATCTGTCCTCAGTTATGTTATCGTTTCAAATTACTTTTTCGCTAATATAATGTATGTATGTTTCTTGGAAAAGAAATTAATTACTACTGTCATAGTTACCTTCACCATCATCGGTAACGCCCAGAACAAGTCTCAAAAGGTAGAGTGCTTTCTTCATGTCCTTCAGCAGCACCTCAGCATACCCCGGTAGCCTCAAGAAGAGCCCGAACGCAGTCAAAGAGTGAGGGGGTACATGCGATATAACAACTGAAGATTTCGACTGTGAATGGCCCGCTCCCATGTCTTCTAGAATGTCCTCGTATATGTCGTCACAATCTACAAGTGAAATATGTGAAAACAATAGTTTTTTCTTTCTGTTCTTTTTTCTAAATCAAATAGAAGTTTACTTAGGAACAAGTTTCAGATAGATAGATGGATATAGAGTCCAAAACGTTGATAGATTTCTCTACAAATTTCTACTGATCATATCCCAAAAGCTTTTGATTGTTTAAATCACACAGTTCTTCTTCAAAAGCTGGAATCATACGGCATACGTGGCCCTGAGCTAAAATGGCTTAAATCTTATATATCAGGTAGAAAACAAATTATGTTAATTAACAAGAAAGGAATCAAAGCTGGATCACAAACTTGCTGGTCAATGCAGTAGACTATCCTGGTCTGATATCCATAACTGAAGAAAGCCTCTGTAAGGCAGATGAGTGGTTCAGGAGAAACAAACTTATATTGAATGAGAATAAGGCCAAAACTGTAATGTTCAAAACAAACCATGCAGGATTTGACTTACCTCAAGAAACTCGGCTGACGAATATTTCACTCAAAATAGAAAATGAGTGCAANTCTTTCCGCCATTGTTTCATATCTTGTTGCAATGTTTTTTTTATATGTATCTAATACGTCTGATGGTTTTTAAAATAGTAATATTATCCGAAAAAACTACTTTTCGGTGAGTAATTTAATTTAGAACTCATTATTTCTTGTGAAATTGAAACGATAATAATCGTATAAGTTTTGGGAAGGTATGTTTATGAAAATTCATTGTTACAGAGCCCTGAAGAAGAATTTAATTGAATTCGAAAGGTCGGCAAAAAAACAATTGTTTTTTTTTTAAGAAAAAAATTATTGTTACCCAACCAACCTTTTTTCAGATAGTATATTTTGCTGTTCATGTATATCGATTAGTGAAGTAGCGAAATAAAATTGAGTTTTTGTTATACCAAGTGTCATTTATCCAAACCCCCCCCTCAGAAACCTGAAGATACTCACTTTTACACTGGTATATTTTAAGATGTACATAAGGCCAATCAACAGTAGCTCCTTTGGACTCAATCAGTCTCAGGAGTTGCCCCAAATTAACGGTCAGCGGCAGTGGTTGATCTGAAAACGTCTCGCACTTGATGACGCGCCCTTCGATAGCGTCACTAGTCGCCGGCGACTCGGCCGTATACCTCTTCTTCTTCGATTGAGGCGTAGAGGAGGAGGCTGCTGCATACAGCTGGTTCTTGGCGTCCTTGACCCGTTTGTCCTTGGCCGCAACGGCGGCGTCAATGCTTATCTCCTGCTCCTCGGCGACGAACCACGACTTGAAGATGTCTTTTTTCGCGATCGTATTTGACTTCTTGTTAAGCACGGACTCGGACTTGAAGGACGTGTTGAAGAAGATGTGCTGCTCGAGGATCTCCAGGAGGGTCGTATTCGTGCTCAGGCTCAGCATGGCGCGGTTGTAGGTCTGCTTGAAAGCAGGGTGAGCGGGAACGTACGATTGTGCGAGCCTCGAACTTTTATACAGGGTTTCGTCGGCTTCGATGCTGACCGGGATCTTTTCGTTTTCTAGCAACAGCTGCAGTATCAATCGACGCATGAATCCCGATATGCCGTTGGACTGCAAGTAAATTACGTCGCACAGCACTTTCGCTAACCTAAAAAAAAGCATTGATGATAATTTTCCTATTAGTCAGTGGGCTATGCTTGAAGATTGTGTAATAACTGCCATTGCGATAGTTAACGAAAAATATAATCTTATTCATAAAGATCGGGGTCGGTCTTTCGGTTTTTTAGTATCAATACTTATTCAACAGATTAAGCGTTGAATTTAAGTTATGATTGTTGAACCTTGACGGCATCATTATGTTTCTTTCTGTCAGACTAAACAAACGTATCCTGTTGATAAGTTATAATACTGGGAACGCCAAAAAATGCAAGCTATGAGTTTGCATTTCAGCTTCGTGGACAGGAAGTTCGGCCATATCTGAATAGGTGGGCCCGAAAATTTATTTAAAATAAAACTGACCAATGACTTCGATGAAAAGAAGATATAGGTCTTGAGTAGGAAGGGTNACCACCCTCGTATTTTGTCATGGGTTTGAAACCCGTAAATAAATAAATAAATTACTCACCTCGTTTGGTTGGTGGCATGACAAAGGCAACATTTCGATAGAAACTTAACGCAAACTTCCTCCAACTGGACATGAGCTTCGGTCTGGAGAGTTGACGTCTTCATAGGAGGCTTCTTACAAAGTAACTGAAGCAAGTTCAGCCAAAACGAAGATCCATCTTCTGAACCCAACCAATCGCGCATCAGCTTCTCATCGCAGACGTCGGTGAAGAACTTCAAAATACTGGAAATGTTCTCCAGCTTCGACATCGGCACTGAAGATTTGTTCTCCGAGCGGCAAAACTCCAAAATGGCGGTATTCAACAATTTCGGCAAACCCGAATCCAGAAGTTGCTGCACCGCTGACGGAGATCTACTGACGAGTGCTATACTTTCCAGCTGCTCGCTGGTCAGGCTCAAACTAGACAGGTCTCCAATCACGAGGCGACCATACCACTCGGAATTGATCTCGAAGCCCTGCTTGGAATCGTCTGTCATGCTTTCCGAATCTTTTCTGTCATCGCTTATGGAAGCTTGCGGTCCGGTTCCAACGTTGGGAACGAGAACGCCGATCTTTTGGAGAAGCAACGGGAAAAACTCCGGACGGATGTAACACAACGAACACATCAACGAATCCAGAGAGTATCTGAGGCTGATGCTGCACTCTGTCTCCATTTTTAGATTGAAGATAGCATTGAATATGTCAACTGTCACCAAAGATTTCAGATCATACTGGACTTGGGACTGTTTCGCAGACCACAGTATCGACGCTATGCTAGATATATATGCTGGATTACAGCCATCTGTGCTGTTCGTCAAAATGGCACGGTTTGCATTACTTTCCAGCCATTCCAAGATTATTTTGACCCTGTACGGTGTATGTTGGTCCTAGAAGAGTTTGCAAGGTTAGCACTGTAGTATTGAAAGTATTTATTTGATGTAAAAAAGGTCCGATTTGTTTATTAATCATTAATTTAAATACAGAGACAATTTTACTCAACTCTAGTGGCCTTTGGATTATTTTCCAGACTCACCTGGTGGTCGCAAATCTTGTACAGCAACTCGCAGGCCGACTGATATCCAGAAACGTTAATGGACCTCTCTTGCCAGTTGTCAACCGCCATCATAGGCTCAGTAACTCCAGATCGACTATCCAGCAACACCCCAATAGCCGATAATCCATTTTCCGGGCTATGCAACGTCAATTCTCTCAAAACGTTCTCCAGGCAAGGCAAGTAACTAGTCAAAATGTGGGACGAAGCGAGAAGCAACCCGCAGCATGTCGTCAAAAGTTCCGGCACATTGGAAGCGCCATCCACGACCTGCCGACGAACGTCCGGATCGGTCACCACCGTGAAGCAGTGATTGAGGAGTCGGAGCCAGCCTAGGCTGTGCCTGCAATGTGAATCGTCGTCGTTTTCAGAGGATTGGGTGAGGCTACCGCCGAAAGCGTAAGTGCCCATCACGCGAATCTGAAGAAGACCGATGTTATTGGCATCCCGGGGCTTGTATAGGCGGATTAAGATGCAGTTGACCACCCTGGGGGACGGGAGTTGCAAGCGAATGTAGGTTAGGCCGCTGGTGGGAAGAGGCAGGCATACGGGAGCCAGTCTGGATATACCGTGAGCTGAAACCTGAAAAAAATAACATACTAGATCAGAGGTGTCAAACTCAATTTTGCAGAGGGCCATATATCAAATTCAGAATGTGTAGGTGAGTGTAATAACTGCCATTGCGATAGTTAACGAAAAATATAATTTTATTCATAAAGATCGGGGTCGGTCACTCGGTTTTTCGGTATCAATACTTTTTCAACAAAGTAAGCGTTGAATTTAAGTTATGATTGTTGAACCTTGACGGCATCATTATGTTTCTTTCGGTCAGACTAAACAAACGTATCCTGTTGATAAGTTATGATACTAGGAACGCAAAATAATGCAAGCCATGAGTTTGCATTTTAGCTTCGTGGACAGGAAGTTCGGCCATATCTGAATAGGTGGGTCCGAAAATTTATTTAAAATAAAAACTAACCAATGACTTCAATGAAAAGAAGATTTAAGTCTTGAGTAGGAAGGGTTATGGAAAAATTCGAGAATATTAAACAAAGATCAGACCAATCAGCGGACGGTAAAAGGGATAAGTGTTAGGAACAGTTTTTCGGACTTGGGAATACGAAGGAGTCGGTTAATTGGGACGGTGGCGATCGGAGGACTGAAGGAGTCGATTAATTGAGACGGTGGCGATAGGACGACTGAAGAAGTCGGTTAAAAGCAATTTTGCGATAGGGCAGATGCGAAAAGATTCTTGTGTGATCAAGAGTTAATACTTTTCATGGTATTAGCCAGTGGAGTAGTTGTTTTCTGATAGGCGTCAGTCCATTCAACCTACTGTGTAGGTATATCCGAGACTGGCTTGAATTTCAAAGATTGCTCTTTATGTAATCAGAAACGAAAGAACTATGATGTGATAAACGAGACTATAAAGTTTGTATTCTGTAATCCATAGGGCACTTTATATTTCATGTAATGGAATCGGCAGAGAATTGATGAAAATAGTTTCAAAAAAAAGCAACTCTTGTTTCGCTATACAATAGCTTCTTTGGCCGAAAACGTTCGCTATTGATGGCTGCCAAACAAATACTAAACAACGCGGTGTCTTCAAACTTGGAATGTATGCTTTATAGATTGTGTACTTTCTAATACAGTGATATCTTTCAAACAACTACCGCCACCTCTAGGCCAGGCCGGGTACTTCAGGAACCACCCTCGTATTTTGTCATGGGTTTGAAACCCGTAAATAAATAAATAAATTACTCACCTCGTTTGGTTGGTGGCATGACAAAGGCAACATTTCGATAGAAACTTAACGCAAACTTCCTCCAACTGGACATGAGCTTCGGTCTGGAGAGTTGACGTCTTCATAGGAGGCTTCTTACAAAGTAACTGGAGCAAGTTCAGCCAAAACGAAGATCCATCTTCTGAACCCAACCAATCGCGCATCAGCTTCTCATCGCAGACGTCGGTAAAGAACTTCAAAATGCTGGAAATGTTTTCCAGCTTCGACATCGGCACTGAAGATTTGTTCTCCGAGCGGCAAAACTCCAAAATGGCGGTATTCAACAATTTCGGCAAACCCGAATCCAGAAGTTGCTGCACCGCTGACGGAGATCTACTGACGAGTGCTATACTTTCCAGCTGCTCGCTGGTCAGGCTCAAACTGGACAGGTCTCCAATCACGAGGCGACCATACCACTCGGAATTGATCTCGAAGCCCTGCTTGGAATCGTCTGTCATGCTTTCCGAATCTTTTCTGTCATCGCTTATGGAAGCTTGCGGTCCGGTTCCAACGTTGGGAACGAGAACGCCGATCTTTTGGAGAAGCAGCGGGAAAAACTCCGGACGGATGTAACACAACGAACACATCAACGAATCCAGAGAGTATCTGAGGCTGATGCTGCACTCTGTCTCCATTTTTAGATTGAAGATAGCATTGAATATGTCAACTGTCACCAAAGATTTCAGATCATACTGGACTTGGGACTGTTTCGCAGACCACAGTATCGACGCTATGCTAGATATATATGCTGGATTACAGCCATCTGTGCTGTTCGTCAAAATGGCACGGTTTGCATTACTTTCCAGCCATTCCAAGATTATTTTGACCCTGTACGGTGTATGTTGGTCCTAGAAGAGTNAAATCCAAAATGATTCTTATCAAGTACTGAATGAGCATTTAAAAAGGAAATTAAGCGATTTTTTATTAGCATCTCAAAAATATGGGTATTATAACTTCACTTGTTTTGAAGATGCCTGAAAATAGTCCTTCACAGAGGCAACGGTTGAAAATAACAGTCAATGGACCAGAGACTAGGCGTAGGGTTTCTTTAATCATTCTACTGTTTAAGTTGTATATGTCCAAGCAAGCAGAGTTTTTTAATATAAAACTGTCACATATAGTCAGTTGTTATCTCGTTCACAGGCAGATGGGGCGACGACAAACCTGTTGTTTGTTGTATGCTTCAGCTTAGTTCGAGGAATGATACTTTGTCGGAATTCGATTTTCAATTATCGGAAATCATCGACTTTATGTTGATGATATACACTACCTTGCACTGACGAGTGGCCAAACAGCCCGAAACCGGTCNGACATTGTCTACACTCTTTCGACAATCAATATATAAATATATATCTAGCTGAACTTCTTTTCAAACATTTTCTGTTATGCTTCAGAAAAAAAAATTGCCATTTCATTCAAAAAATAGTTACGATTCTAATGGAAAACATTTGTTGAAATGATATAACTTGAACTATTTATTTATTTTATTTATTCTGGTTAGCAATTATACATAACAAAACCTCTGTTGAATAATGATTTGTTTGGATTGGTCTGTATTGAAACAATTTGTCTGGTATTATTGTTATGGACATCTTCAAAGTTTCATGTTGGAAATTTTATGTCCAGTGGATGAAATAAAAAAGAATATCAAGACAGAATTAATGAAGATAAAAATCCATGAATTGTAGAATTTTATTTCCTGATTCAAAAACGAATTGGTCAAAATTGTTAGAGCTACAAAATAATATTTATTGGTTTCAAAAACCTAAAAGGCATGTTCCATACCTGCGCTAAAAAACCTTTTGATCATGTCTTCTGTATCGAAGACTTGCAAGATGAACCACAAGAGCGGTTCGCTCAGCTGTGGCGTTTGTGATAAAAACATCAACAGGGGATGTAACAACAACTCCTTGTTCGAGGCCTTCTTAGCCAGCAGGGCCAACAGATGGAAAATGGCATCGCCCACTGTGTACGGTTCGCCAAGGTTCGAAAACGCCATCTACAACAGAAAGAAAACGTCCGGTTACCGTTCGGGTTCCATTTTTTTAGAAAGTTTACCTTTTGTGAAACATTAGGAAGCATACAAAGTGAAGATGACTTACATGCCGCCAGACAGCGACATAATCTGATGAAGGTCGGGTGGTGTTGGAGAACTACGTCGGCGAAACATGGAATAGGAGTCGAAGAGTTCTGAGAATTTTCTTGCTGAATTTGTTCTGCTTTGCTTTCATCTGTCTGAGAGGTGGCAGGCGACTCAGTGTCCATGGCTTCCTGTAAAATTTACAATTGGAAAAACGTGAATATTTATGTATTATTTATTTAACGAAATTATTATTTTCTACAAAAATATCACAAAATACAATACTAAGTGTAGTAAACAAATTATCTACTACTGTACGCATCAGTACGGCTTTCAGAATTTTAAGAGTACAAGTGAAGCTATATCAAAAGTATTGCAATTGGTATATAATGAAATCAACAGCGGGGAAGCCACTGCAGCAGTGCTTTGTGACTTATCCAAAGCTTTCGACTGTGTCAATCAAAGCATATTGCTTCGGAAACTCATAAGATATGGTTTTAGGGAGAACAGTCATATTTGGATTAGTTCATACCTTTCTGACAGAAAACAATTTGTAAGAACGTCATCTAACTCGGACGTGGGAGAGATAAATTGTGGAGTACCTCAAGGCTTTGTGTTAGGTCCTATACTGTTTCTGTTATACATTAATGATTTGACCAACATATCGATTACAGGAAGCTTTACCTTATTTGCTGACGACACCACATTAGTGTGGCATGACAAGGACAAAAACAGATTGAATAACAAAATGTGCCAAGACATGAAAAAAGTGAAGAATTGGTTTGACTCGAATCTTCTATCATTGAAATTAGTTTATATTTTATTTTAATCATTTATATTTTATACACTTATACTTCATGTTTATATTGATATTTATTTATGACATTGTGTTTGTAAACATTTATTCTTAAAAAATAAACATATTATCAATGTTAGTTATTTCCAGAAACTACAAAACGGTAATAATTACTTTCAATGGTTCATCAATGTTGACATTCTACCAATAGATACATTCTGCCAACAAATTATATTGAACTCTACAGTTTTCTTGTTATTTTTGGGTTTACACCAGTTTCACGATTTCTTTGAATTGTGGGAAACTGAAATTGGCAATTTCCGTTTTATAAATAAATATGATACATTACCGACTGCAAAATTCAATAATAATAATCTTTATTAATCCCAAGAAACAAGAATGTTTATAACAGGGATAACATTTAAAATAATGATTAAATAAAGTATTTCAATATTGAATATATCATACATAAATACATAAACACATATATACATACATATTTACATATATACACACATACATATATAAATTTTTAAATTATAATGGTAATTAAAAACAAAAAAAATGTAATATGGACATCAGAATTTCAATTAGAGGAACAAAGCAGAAACTTTTTCAATTCCGTGAATTTTGTTTTTTGATTCATTTTTAGTTTCTCTGGAAGATTATTATATATTTCAACTCCTAAATATTGATTTCTTCCCAAATTTTGAGTGATATGATTTAACTAGTAGTTTTTTTGCTTGCCTTGTAATATGGTCATGGATGGTATTTATTTGATTGAATTCCAAATTCAAATATTTGTAATTTTTTCTAACAGAATGAATGAAACAACAAATTTTCAATTGGAAAATAAACTGAATATCTAAAAGATCACGTGGTATATATAAATTTGACGTAGGTTCAAGATATGGTAATTTGAATTTACATTTTATTATTTTATTTTGCAGTCTATTGAGAGGATTTATTATTGATAAATTAGCTGTTCCCCAAACTGGAATTAAATATTGTAGATTTGAATATACCAAACAGAAATATATACATTTGAGATATTTTAATCGAATAAAATTTCTAATCCTAAATAATATTCCTAAAATTGGTCCGATTTTCTTTTTCAACATCTCAATATGAGTATTCCAACAATACTATTCCAACAACTACTATTGTCATCATTTGAACAAACCAAATACAAATAAAAGTGTAATAATACACTTCATAAAATAAGTGCAAGCTAATGCTTTTTTCCTTTCCTGGGAGCCGTCTCATCTATTTCTTCAAGTCTCCTTTGAACCCACAGGATGAGTACAATTTACAAATTATTATAACTTGACATTCAACTTTGGATACATATCAGGTGAAAAACACCTTATCCCTTGCCTCTCATGTGAAGACGTTGCACATGTGCCTGATGGTTTTACTTCAGCTTCCTGCACAGCATTAGTTGGGTTAGATGTCGTTTTTCCATTGGGTATCTGTCACATGTACGTACAAAATCGTAAGTTCACATGAGAGGCAAGGGGTAAGGTGTTTTTCACCTGAACTTGGGCATGTCATATGCACCTCCTGGGAATATGTTTATTATTCAGACTCCCACCCCGAAGTATTTGTTTGCATATATAGAGTTTAGTTTGTTAGGTCTCTCTAGACACAATGGAGATATAAAGTTCAAATTGCTTGGTTCAATTGTTGCAATCTTTGTGTTCATTTGAAGAATTATGTAGAGGTTTTTCCTTTTTGGTAGTACTCAGTACTCAAAATCGTGAAACTTATGCAACATACTTGATTTCGAACTTTAGACAGGATTAAATAATCCGAAAATGATCACAATAACTCACCTGTTGGTCGGGAAGAGGAGTCTGCACTAGTTTTCCAAGAAGCTTCAACATTAGTATCAATAAATCCTCGTAAGAGACTGGTCTGTCTTGTTTGATGGAATCTGAGCCGAGAACACTCGCAAAAATATCACTGAAAGGCCCAGTGATAACCTGTCTCTCAATCATGCTCACACATTTTATATTGTCTTTAACGAGTACGTAGCTGTGAACCAAGGCAGCTGAAATTAAATACAATGAAAAAAAGGTTTTAAACGATTAAGTTTAACAGGCAACTAACCGGTACTTTCCAAGGTACTCATAGCTATGCTAAGGTCGGTATTGACGAAATCTAGGTACAGCATGGTCAGCAGTAGTTTGCACTGGGCGTCCAGTGGACCCAGTTTAGAACCCATTGCTCCAGATGGTTGAGCTAGTTGGTAAATGACTTTGAGGAGGGACGTCTTCAGGCTATTGCCTAGTTTGCTCACAGGACTTACTATATCACATCTCATTTGCAATCTGACCAAAAAATCGTGCAGTGCTTTACATAATGAGGGTCCGGCCTGAAAATAAATACCAGATAACAGCTAGATTGAATATTAAAAATCATGAAATATTCCACTAGATCAAAAACTGTTTTGATAGCTGTTCCCCATAAAGCGGGACCTTAAATAGTAGTAGAATTAGTAGTATTTATTGGTCATATATACATAGAGAGTACAAGTGGCAGGTCAATATAAAAATGCATATAAACTCAGCAACTCGCTCATCCCAATACTCCTCATCATTAATTGATTACTTCTGTTCTAATCTAAGCGAAAATCTTATATTATGTGATGTTGTCCCTTCAAATCTGTCCAATCACAATGCAATCTTCACAAGATTCAATTTCAAAGTTGTTGCAAATACAAAAAAACACAGATATGGTCGTATATACAGCACGGCTAACTATAATAGGTTTTATCAATCATCGCTCGAAAGCGACTGGAATAATGTAGTCAATTTTGAGCATTTCTATAAAACGTTAAAGCATCTCTTTGAAAAATATTTCCCAATCCAAAAAATAAATTTAAAAAAAAGAAACTTTGGTTGACTAGAGGATTACAAGTTTCATCAATAAATATGCAAAAAATGAAAGTTTCCTTAAATATTTCAATAAATACAGGAAAACATACAGAAATGTGATAAGTGCTGTGAAAAAAAAATTATCAAAATAGATTTGATAATGTTGATAATAAAATGAAAGAAGGGTGGAATATAGTTAATGAATTAGGAGGAAAGCAATCTGAAAGAAAATCCACTAACACAGCAATAAGTCCCACAACATTAAATAACCACTATTGTTCAATAACCGCAAAATATGCAGTTGATACAGTCGCGAGCTGGAACTTCATCTAGCTTTTCCTAATATGACTAATAACCAGTCCGTGCAAAGCTTATTGTTAAATCATCTGAAAATGGAATTTTTAACAGGTGATGATCGACTGTATTGTCAAACATGCGCCAAACTAACTGACTGTTATAAGGAAAGAAGTATAGCTGAGGCACCAGTCAAAAAAACTTGCATCTGGCTGCTTTGTAGTGAAGTCAGTTTCGAAGGAACTGGGTAGAACCTTTGCAAGATCTGCGTACTTTGCCTTTGTGGATGCATATATAAGATATGGTATTGCCTTCTGGGGAGTATGCAGCAAAAGCAACTTTATGTTTCTTGAGACCAATAAAAATAATTATTAATTATCATGCTGCAGATTGTTTTCGTTTTACAGAAGCGAGCTGTCCGGTATGTGTGCGGGCAAAGTTCCAAGATCACTGCAAACCATTATTCATTGAACAACGAATTCTGACAGTAATATCTCTATTCATTCTTGAAACAGTAAGTCTGATTCATAAAAATATATTTGCTCGTGATGATATAAACGAGCCACACTATAATACACGTCAAGTCAACTTGATCAGACTTCCCCTGCCCACAACAACAATGGTGAAGGACTCATTAATATACAATGGAATTAAGATGTGCAACAAAATTCCCATATACCTGAAAAGTTATTCTTTGAATATTTTTAGGGAAAAATTAAGCGACATTCTGATTGATCAAGCCTATTATAGTTTAGATGAATTTTACAATGACAACGCTTTTTATGAATTATAGTTTACTACTGTATGTCACTATAATATAGCTTTTTTTTTAAGGAATTTTTTTAAATTTTAAATTGTATAGCATTTATTTTGTTTCGTAAAAATGTGTTTGGCACCCTATTTTATATAAATGGGCTTTTAGGAATTACTTTTATACTACTTTGACATAGTTCATAATCGTTTGTCAACAAAAACTCTTGAGACAATAAACGTATTTCTCTCTTTCTCTCTCTCTCAAAAAAAGTAGCCGACAGTCATGAGAATATAAAAACTTCGTGTTACATAGATAAAAATTACAAAAATTAAAGAAAGTAGGTAAAAAAAAGAAAACCATATTATTTACACATCAAAAAACTTACTAGGTGGAACATTCAGTGTTTGGATTCCAATGCCAGAAATTCCTCTATTGAATAGAAGCTATTTTCCAGGAGGTATTTATTTGTTGCATTTTTAAAGGTGTTATAGCTATTGATACTCTTTATATATTTTTGCAAGTTGTTATTAAGGAAATATGCAATAATAAAATTCAGACTTTTTAAATGTTTCAGTTTTAAGTTTTGGTATTTCCAATAAAGAACTTCTTAATGGGTAGTTATGATGACTTCCTAACACGTTGAAGTCAGAAATGTTGTTTTTCAAAAAAGTTGCACATTTTAAAATGAAAATAGAAGGGAAGTGCAGAATAGAGACAGTTCTACATGACTCCCTCTGTATTCTAAATCAAATAATAGTCTAATTATTCTTTTTTGAGAAATGAAAACTCTTTAACATTCTGTAGCCAGTCCCCGTGTTGCAATATTATTTGATATACCTATGGCTATATGCAAACACATAGTCAACAAATAAGATGCTATTCAATTTTAAGAATGGTGGAAGTTCTGTCAGGTATTTTGATGTGTTTCTTCTGTCCGCATAAGTATACTCACCATTATTTTCCCATTGAGAACAGACCCGGTACCCGACAGCAGGCTGAGAAACATTTGAACGAAATCCGGATGATTCACGATCGTATTTGCCATTCCAGACAAATCAAACCACTTTTTCCCGTTATTCATGTTGCAAACCAACGTCAGCGTTTGCAAGGCACTCGACCAAGTCATCAGCGACAATCCTGGTGTCCAAGCCATGGTATTGATCAGATTATTGACGGAACTGTATACTAGCGGTATTTGCGGGATCGTACCAGGTACGAACTGCTCGTTTTTGCTAGTAGCGTTCAATGTCAGCCACAGCTGCAGGATGCTCTCGATTTTCGAAGGTTCCTGGTTCTGGAGGTTCTCAAACAGCGAAGTGAAGCAGAACGCTAACATTTTCTGGTTGCTGAGCAACGACTCCGAAGAAAAAGCCTCCAAAGGTGTGGGCCACGGGGCTAGGCCGTGGGAGGTTTCTTTCTGACTACCTTCGGCCGTTATGTTCTGCAGCAGCAACTGGCTGTTCCTGATGACCAATTTTTTCAAAGTTATTTCGGAATTCGACTGCACGCCGAGCTCCAGCCTCGAATCTACGGCGCAGGATAGTCCTGAATTTGAGCCGGAGGTGGTTTTGCTTCCTTTGGCGGTGGTACATCTCACTTTCTGCAAGTCCTCAAGCATCTCCTCGAAATCGGAGTCCTCAGACTCGTACACTGACGGAAGGGGCGGGAAGTTATTGTTGTTTATGATGGAGGATCCAGCGGTTTTTGGGGGTTTGCTCATCGGCTCCGTGAGTCCTTCGTCAATATTGAAATGGTGGATGGTGTTGTCCACCTCTGGTTGTGTCACATCTAAAACCATAGTAAGTAAGTAAGAATTGCCACTGTAAAGTCTTCAACATATGGGTTATTGGAGTATATCTATTACATTTTAGGATTAATCTCATCCCACGATTTTGAAGTTTTTGTACCCCAAGGTATTTGAATTGTTTTACAATTTCAATTTTTGTATTTTCTATAATTAAAGTTATGTTATCTTTATCTATATTTTTTGCCCTATTGTAATTAGAAATTATCATAGCTTTTGTTTTTTGTACATTAAGTTTCAACTTATTTCCCTTCAAGTATTTTTCAAGTTTAATTAATAGTATAGTATAAGTTTATTTCATCACATTAACTACAAAATTTACAAGAGTGACAAGTCAAAGTGACAAACAAGAATAACAATAATTGAACAATAGTTGTGATTATACACGCTGATTACATCTAAAATATTTATTTTTGGAAATAAAAAATAAAAACACATTCAACATATTAAAAGATGAATGTCTCACAATCAAAATATTCGTCGATGGAGTAGAAACAGTGCGTTTTTTTTTGTACCTTGGGAGCTGTCTGACTTGCCCATTTAGTCCAAGTCTCCAGAAACAGTGCCTTAATAGTGAGTGCTTAACCCTAACCTTGAAACAGTTACAACTCAAACCAGTAATGTCTGTTGGTATTTTATTGTATGTTGAGTGAATTTCGAGCTGATAGATCCAGTCTATAAAATTGAGGACTCAGGTGTGCACCTCTTTAAGTAGGGTAATTATGAAAGTCAGCATTTGTAAGGTACTTAGTATCATTTTTCTGAATCTCTAAAATGTTATAGAGTACGAAAATACATAGCAAGGGTAGAATTTCAAGTTTTTGAAATATAGGACGACACTGTTCTCTGTAAGAAACATTAACTATTTTTTGGATACGAAAGGCTTTAATTGCATGTGAAAACTGACCCCATGAAAGTATGCCATGCAGAGTGGTCCAACGAAAAGTATGCACCTTGCTTTTCTCCTTTTTTTGTAACTTAACGAAAAAATGCTCGGAAAGGTTTTTGAGGGGGATACATTTTAGATGTATTTTTCCACCTGTGCCTTCAACCCCCTAGCGAGGGTGTGAAAGGGCACAAAATTATCTTTCCAATGATACCTAATTTGTTGTATTTCACTCAAACATGTAGGTATTATGAAGAAAAACAACTACAACCCAGTACTTTGAAATGTGAAATTGACTTAGTAGAATCCTACTTCAGCAAGTGCTAAAAATGTGACCCATTTGCTTCCATACAATAATACAGATTTTGTTCAAATCTATTCCTAACATTCTGTAACATATCAGGTGTTATACTTCTGCACTCTGCTGTAATTCGTTGGCGAAGATCTATGGACTCGGGCTGCGTAGCAAAACATTTATTTTTCAAGTGTCCCCAAAGGAAAAAGTCTAAAGGCGATACATCAGGTGACCTGGCAGGCCATTCGATGGGGCCTCTCCTTCGTATCCACCGTCCAGGAAACCGGTCATCTAAAAACTATCTTACCGGAGCAACATGTGAGGAGGTGCTCCATCTTGCTGGAAATGAAGCCGATCATCATTATGATTTTGGTCATTTTCGATTATTTCTGTTATGAGAGGATCAATTGTATCTTCAAGCATGTTCAGGTAGACCTCACCAGTAGAATTTCCAGGACTCCCACAGGTAGAAAAATACATCTAAAATGTGTCCCCCTCAAAAGCAAAATTGACCTGTCCGAGCATTTTTGCGTTAAGTTACAAAAAAAGGAGAAAAGCAAGGTGCATACTTTTCGTTGGACCACTCGATATGTTATGCCATACTTTGACTAAGACACATTTTCAGCTGTCTTAGTAGGAACAGTTGTATAGAAAGTTTTTTGCACAGACCAGCAACATGTGCTTCCCGATTTAACATGTCATCAATTTTAAATCCCAATAAATCTACATGTTGCTTCTTCGTTAGTTGTCTTTTTGATATTATAATTTTTTGTGCCTTATCCCTGTTTAGTTTGAGATAATTTGAAGTAAGCCAAGTTTCAGCATCATTTTCTGTTCTAGAACATTGGTCCATTAAGTCGTTAACAAAGAGATAAGTGTGGAAGTAAGAAATTAAAAATATCATTAATATATACCACAAAAAGAGTTGGTCCCAGTAAGGACCCTTGTGGTACACCGTGCAAAATGGATCAACATGTGCTGGAATTTCCAGATGTATAAACAACTGGTTTTCTCCAACATAAGTCGGTGTTCATTAGCTCTAAAGCTCTGCCACGTATCCCGTAATATTCCAATTTACCTAATAGGAGCTCATGATTTATACTGTTAAAAGCCTTACTTAGATCACATAGAGTTATAGCAGACACAAGCCCCTTTTCGATATTCTCGATTATTGTATCAACTATAGCCATCACAGCTTGGGTTTTAGATTTGTTAGACCTAAATCCAAAATGATTCTTATCAAGTACTGAATGAGCATTTAAAAAGGAAATTAAGCGATTTTTTATTAGCATCTCAAAAATATGGGTATTATAACTTCACTTGTTTAGCCGCAGTTGCAGTTGACACGTTTGGAGATTGTAACCAAAGAAGACCAAGGCAAAACCCGGAAACCAACCAAAACATTGACGCCAGCCGTGAAAGACTACATTTCTATAATAGTGTTGGTTATTTTTTGAATCGGCATTGTGCTAGTTTTTAATTGTGTAGGAAATTGATGGATTGTATTGGAAAGAGACATTGATGAGATGTTGATTACATAATCAATAGTTCCAAAAATATTTTTGGAGAGTGTAGCATCCAATATGTCACTGCTTATTTTATTTTCCGAGTCTCTAACAAATGATAGTAAGTTGAATATTTCAATGTATTATTAATGTGGAATATTGTGTATTCTTGTTATCAGAACTGCTTCGCATATTTCCTTACTATAAAGAAGTTCATCAATACAATAAAACTAGTTGTTGCCCGCGGCTTCGCCCGCGTAGAATTTGGTAGTTGTAGTACTAATTAGTAGTATGTTGCTGTATCGCTGCTGTTCCAATGTTTTGACAGAATCAGAATTAATGAACTTAGGCGTGCGCAGCATTCTAGAACAGTGCTTCCAAAAAAGTGTTCTACAGCGCCATCTAGTGGCGAGTTACCGAAAAATTGATAGCCTAAAAACCTTCTCTATGAAAAATTACTTAGACATGTCAAGTTTTCATCACGATCGGTTGAGCGATGTAGAAGTTTATCACTTACCAACCAACAAACATCCATTTTTATATATTAGATAAATGAAAAATCAATGAGATATCAGACTTTAGATAGAACAATACACCAACTAATAGTACTTACTTTTGGGTGGCCAGGCGGCCGAAGAGGATGGTTCAGTCTCCATTTCAACATCATCTGATTTGGTAAGGGTGAGTTCCATGGCGTCTTGAAGAAAACAAGACAGGGCGAAAGGAGCCCATGGAATCTTGCACGAGATGCAGAAATTGATGAGTTCCAGTAGTTGGTTCTCTTTCAGAAGTTGGCCCAACTGGAGTTTCGCCAATGTTACCAGTTTGGAAACAACCTATTAAAAAATTATTGAAAATGTCATACTGCAAAACATATAATTTGACTGATTTGTTTTGTAAGTGCCAATTTTTCTCATTAATCTAACTTTGATATTCTCGAAAAAGGAAATAAGATTTTCCGAAAGCTTGGGTAACAAAAAGTTGTGTTCACAAAACTATACAATACCCAGAAACGAATAATATATATTATAAACATATTCCGGAGAGATACATGACATGCCCAAGTTCAGGTGAAAAACACTTTACTCTCTTGCCTCTCATGTGAACCTACGACTTTGTAGGAACGTGTGGCAGATACCCGATGGAAAACCAACAAGTCGATGGAAAACCAACAAGTAACTCAGCTAAATATATAATATTTATTGATTTCTTTAGGACATCCTAATATACATACATCATTTTAAAAATATATAAATAAATGACATGAATAACAAAAATGATATGATAGAAGGAAAAAAAATAACCATTTTTTAATGATTCCAGAATGGTTTCAACATGAGGATATGCATAATAAATATATTACCAAACAGAAAAAAGAAAATCAAGGATGATATTTTATATAGTTCATGAGTTTTTTTTGAATTGGAAAACATTTATTGAATCTTTCAACGAAAGTGGGAGTTTGTTATACTCATTCAAACCTTTATAAAATAAAGACTGCATCGTACTAGTCAAATTAGTT